CTGCACTTACTGACCTACTGAACATCAGAGTTTAACCCTGCCTACCTTGCATATGCTCAGAACACTTACATTAGCTACAGATGGGTACCATCACCTAATATGAAGCTTATTAAAAAAGTGAAAAATCCCGTACAATTTATTGAATACTTTACTGAAAGTGAGAAAAACAAAAAGGTTCAATACATATGTCTCTGAACCATCATCAAATTGAAACACTGACCCATTGTTTGTTGAAGACCATCTGTACCAATCATTTTGGTAAGCAGTGTGTCTGACCTGAAATTCACCAACAGGACAGTGTTGGTGCTGGAAACTGAAGCCCCAAGAGGGAAATCAAGCACAGCTAAGACACAAAGTGGGGGTTTGAACTTGACCGACTGAGTCAAGCTAACCCTGAGCCCGTGTGTCTGGAGTTCATCTGTGATAATGTCTTCCTTGCTGTTGTCACCACTTTAAGCTGGATATTCAAAGTTCTTCCAAACAAACCCATCCTGTCTGACTCCTGGGTGTCTGATTTCAGTTATGTAAAATGCCAGATGTGCTGCCTTTGCCTCCATTGGCCTGTGGTGAACAATTATAAGTTTTGGTTTAAGATACTTCCTCCAATCAAATATCCTAGCAACACCACATCAGAAACGAACATTATCACTGAGTTTACTTTTGTAAACCAAGAGGCTCTACCGGCTCATTTTTCCAGTCTTGAATGGGACTTGAAGGTGAAGAGTGAGACACATCCCTTTAAACATGGGGCAGCCAAAGCTGGGAGGAAGGGATGTACACAAACCTCTTACTTCTCAGCTCCTCCTCTTCTTTGCCTTCTTTCCATCACCCACCACTTGCACGTATCAGTTCCTTGTTCTGTGAAGAGTCCTCCTAAAGCATGCCTGGTTACGATGACGGTGCCAGGAGAAATCAAAACCACAAATCACACCAGTGGCGGGGTGGGGGGCTGACCGCTGGCTTGGTCTGAGTGTTTCTGTCACCTAAAATCTGTAGGTGGGAATTCTGGCTCTTAACGTGAGGATGGAGCCTGCTGGGGGTGAGTAATGACCTTACAAGAGAGGCCTCAAAGGGAAACCTCACCCTGAAACAGATGCCAGTATGTATGAATGTATGGAAGGAGGTAGAGGGAGAAATGAAACAGCAGCTCATCAAAGCCCCTCCCCACTCCCACTGCAGGGTTTCAAGACTGAGGCAGAAATCAGCTGGGAGAAGCAGGACATTCTAAATTAGACAAGCTGGGAATTTTGAGACGAGAATGGGCTGAGTTTCTTATTATCCACAGTTGTGCCCGGGAAAACTGTGGAGTCTTGGCTTTCAACCAAAGGCAAGAAAAAACTACCAGTGTATGATGGAGCAAAGGTAGTGGGGAGTGGGAAGAAAGACTGGAAAGGCTGCTGCTTACACCCCGCCCAAGGAGGCCGCTCCATGGCCTGGTCATGCCGACACAGAGAGTGGCCGAGTGAGTAAGGAATCTGCCAAAAGAGCAGTGGGAAGTAAAGAAGAAAAAGTCAGCTTAGCCACGTGTCAAGAAAAATTATTGCAAATGCAACAGTAAAGCAAAGAGGTGACAATCAGGAACTTCCCAGGCCATGCTGCAGTATGAACTGACCCACCCAATGCTAGCAGATGATTGAGGGGAATGAATCCACGTTGGACCATCCCTCTGATACTCCACCCAGTAGAAAAGATAAGGCATCCAAACTTCGCTGGGACAGGGAGTGGTCTTTGTGCCCTATTGGTCTTTGGCTGATTCTGAATGTGGGCAGCAATCCTGTTCCAACTTTCTTCTTCAGTGCTGGGATTGAACACAGGCTCCTCACACCTGCTACTCTGACCTACACCCTCAGCCCTACATTCTGTTTTTAAAATACTTTTCTGGATGAATGACATAAACTTTCTTTGTCAAATATCCTTGAATCCATCTTATCATCTACTGATTTCCCCATGGACGAGTTGAATAAGATCTTTGACACTTGTTCATTCTATATTTGAGTGAGAGTCATGTTTTTAACTTTTTGAACTTTTAGAATAACATATTTATGACTTTTTTTTGTTTTGTTTTGTTACTGGGGATCGAACTCATGTCCTTGTGCTTGCAAGGCAGGTGGTGAAACTACTGAGCTAAATCCCCGGCCCCAATATATTTGGATTTATGCTTCCTTTGCCATTGCTGTGATCGAATGCTCCACCCCCAACTCACATCTAAATTTCATTGCCATGGAAACAATGTTAGGTAAGGGGAGGACCTCGATGAAGTGATTAGGTCACAGGGCTTCTGCTTCCTGAGTGGATTGTGCCCTATCACGGGAGTGAGTTAGTTGTAAGGGGGAAATTTGGTCCCTGTTTTCTTTCTTGCCACGTGATGTCTTCTGATGTGTTATAATGCCGCAAGAAAGCCCTTACCACAGGTGGCCCATTGACCTTGGACTCTCACCCTCCAGACCCTGAGCCAAAAACCTTCTCTTGTTTATAATTGATTCAGCCCTGTGGGCTTCTGATAGAGCAGCAGAAAACAGACTGAGGCAATCATCTACAACCCTTACCTGTGTTCTTATTTCCTTTCACTATTTCTAATAAAATCCTCAAGGGAAACTAGGATTATATTTCCCCCTTCAGTTTTCCCATTGTGTTGTCATGTATCACAAGTCCCCTCTCTAATCTTCTTCTGTCTGCAGGAGGAAGAATGGCCTAAATTCCTTGAACCCTTCTAGACTCACTCCTGCCCTTCCTGGTCATGTCAATGCATGCTTTTGATTGGTGTGGCCAGAACGCAATCCCCTGGAAGAAACCCTGCAGGAGGCAGCCAATGCATGGATTTGAAGATCAGATAAGTGCATGTTTAAATATTGATTTTGCCACTCACTGAACTCACATGGTGAAAATCTTGGAAAAATTACTTAATTTCTCTGGAGTTCAATTTGCTTTTCTGTAAAACAGAATCAAAACCCTGTCTCCTGAGAGTGCAGTGAAGAGGAAGTGACTTCTTTCCCTCCTTCTTGCATCTTCTTCCTTTCAGCTTCCCTGACTTCTTCCTTCCTTCCCTTCCTCTCTACTTTGGTTTAGATTTAAAATGAACATCCCCACCCACCCAATTTTCACTTGTGTGGAAAGTGATCGGAGGTGCTATACTCAAGCTGAATGTCCTGTTGGAAGGTGGGGCCTAGTTGTAGGAAGATCACAAAAGGTAGGACCTGAAAGGGTGCATTCTTGTCCCTGCCTCTTCCCTTCTCTCTCCTCTTCCTGGCCATCATGAAGTGAGCAGCCTTTCCTCCACCATTCCTCTATCCAACCTACTTCTGCCTTGGAGCCAGCTGACCATGGACTGAAACCATGAGCCAGATGAACTTCTGCTCCTTTAAGTTGTAGGTGTCGGGCATTGTGCTCCAGCAATGGAAGAATGACTAAGAGGCTGTCTCTCCCATCCCATGCTCCTTTCTGGTAGTCAGTTATGTGCCAGGCATCATACTAGACACAGAATTGTCCTAAGCATTAAGACAAGGCTGTCACCCCCAATGTGAGCCACGAGACGGATGTGAAATCATGTTTATATGTTGTGACAAGTGAGGGGATGGGCCCAGCATGATGGCATCCAGGGCTCCCCTTTGCTCCAAATTCTTCCAGGTACAATTATATGGTGGGTAATGAGGGCTTTGTTTGCTTGGGGAAGAAGGAGAGAAGGAGTTTTGCAGATGAGTGTTTAGGAAAGAGCAGGTTAGTGTGTGGGAGTAGTCAGGAAGGGAAATGGATGCTCCGGTGGAGACTGTTGGCTCATCCAGATTCTGGTGCCCGTTTGGGTCTCCACAAAGGAAAGAGGGAGAAGATGCCATTTGATGCTGAACTGGTAAGCCTTGGGTGAGGGCAGTGTCATATCTAGGCCTGGCTAACAACTTGGGGCACATGTTGGCAGTAAGGGAGTCCCTTATTCCTCAGCCCCAAGTGCTATCCTTCCCCCATTTTCTATGGAACAGCAATCCTCTTGAGGACTCGGGGTCATGCATGGACCATGTGTCACATGCACGTGATCAGTGGACAGGGCCCAGCCTTGGAGCTGAGGGGTGTTTGGGGCCTGATTCTGTTCCTGAGCCCATGTGGGAAAGGCAGGCCAGGCAAGAGCCACTGGGCTTCGTAGCTGGGTAGAAGTGGGAGCCAGACCAGTGTGGCTATGAATGGACATCATTTCTGCCACTGGCTTCTGAGGATAATTATTACATTACACTGGATGTCTGTTACGCTAAGTAGCTATTTTCATGGAAATTGTACATCTTCAGGAAGAGCAGGATGGAATATTTGTGAAATTTGTATATCCTTTCAAATATAATTTGTTGTGGGCACAGGGTAGGTGCCCTGTAGATTTCATGGAGTTTTCAATAGTCGGGTACCGGTCCCTGCAAGTGCCAACCCAAGATGAGCAGAGATCATCTACCTTGGGTCCTGGAAAACATCATGACCTGCCTTTGCCATCTTCCTAATGCTGTTTTGCCTGGCATGCTATGTGAGTTAGCTTTTCCTGTGAGAGAGCCCGTGTGCACACACACACACATCCTGCCTCAGCAGCATTGGTGAGCACAGAAAAACAGTGCAGAACTACAGGACAGAAAGAAGGAGCAATGGGCCCAATATTTTCTAGAATAATCAATAATTGAAGTTTACAGTCTTTTTTTTTTTTTTTTTTT